CAAAACGATAGAGATATTATAAATCAAAACGCACAACTGTGGAAAGAGCAATCTAAGACTGAATATTACAACCCGGTACTAGAAACTGAGAGAACGGATCAAAAGTCCGCCTAGAACCTCACTAGCCACACTAGAATAGAAAAAACAAACACACAACTAACAGACACAAACACACCAACTACAATCACTCCCCACAAAAGAATAGAACATCATCAACCACTTTCAATATGCATAGATGTGCAGTGAAATAAATTTAAACAAAGATAAAAATTACATATGAAATTTGAGAAGAAGTCAATAATACTCTTTTTTTTTTCGCCAAATGACATTTTTATTAAAACTCCAAAAAAGAGTACACATGTCAACTGACATCACTAGAATCAGAACAAAGTCTGAATTTACCTCTTCGTCGGAATTACACAATCAAACCAAGGAGAGTAACAACAAAGTAAATAATCAATATCACATTTTTTTGCTCTCTATATCAAATCAAACCACATGTTTATAATTAACCAAAATAAATAAACTCAAATTCAAACACAAACCATCAAATTAAGTAATCAATTAATTGATCACCCTGCAATTTGCCCTGATTTCTCCACTCTGACCCGATACAATATTCCCCATCTTCACCATGGACGCCGCAAAGCTCCGGAAAAATGCATTGCTGTTGCTGCTAAACTGCTGCACAAGCCCACTTATCTGCGAGGTCGAATTCGAGAACAGCTCTTGATCCGACTGCAGTAGCCCCTGACCCGTTAGCAGGTTCGAGTAATACCCGGTGTCGAAAGTGTCCCGGCTCGACGGGTCCAAGTCCGTCACCACCGACGTCAAGTTGGCCAAGTTTTGCGGGCACACTTGCCTTAGCGTCGTCAGGTAGGTCGAATTCAGAGTCGGGTCCGGCTGTCCCGTCCCGCTGAAATTGTACAGCCTGTTGAAGAAAAACGAGCATTGTGCTCGCCCGAACGTGTGGGCCCCTACAACAATTATTCGAAAAAGGTTTGAATCTTTAGTAAAACCATATCCAATCGAGAAAGTAAAAAGAAAAAAAATGCAGTAAGTACTTGATAATGTGACAAGGTCGTTAATGTTGAGACACGACGACAACAACGAACTAATTAGCGGTGATATTAGGTATGATTTCGAAAGTTTTTTAATCTTTTTTGCTACATAATGTGTTTACTCTAACCGAAAAACTAAATAATGCAGTACATGTTACATCAGTAATTCTTCTCCGACCATTATAAAGTAAATACTTGATAATGTGATAAGGTCGTTGCTCGTTAAGATCATCTCCAACCGAAAAGCTCACGGAATACAATAACTGTTACATCAAATCAACATCAACAACAGTAAATTTTCTCCAACCATTATAACGTAAGTACCTGATAATGCGACAAAGTCGTTAGTGTTGAGACCAACATTAGCAAACTTAGTGTTGATATTAGTTATGGTATCGGACGGTGATGGAATTGCTGTGTTCGCTAATGCCATGTTTGCAGTTCTGCTATCATTCCTGCCGCACGGTACGGCCCACGACGGACCTCCCGCCTACAAAAATCAAATTTAACGGCATATACATAATTAGGTCTTAAAAGAAAAATAGAAAAGCAGGCCTCGCTAGTCGATCATTGCTAGTTAATTGTGACGATAAAATAAAGCAATATTCACTCGGGAGATATGTATTACTAGAGATACGGCAGCTTGAGAAGCAAGGGCAAGAATGTCCGCACACGACACGACGCCAGGGCACGCCTGCTCCAGGGCGGCCTTTATATTGTCCACAACATCAAATCCACGCGCCGAGTTCGCATTCGGACCCGCGTTTTTCTCGCTCTGTATTGAATTCGTCGTGTTGTCGTCCAATAAAACCGATCCATCACATCCCTAATAAAAACAAAAAAAAAACATTTTTTTAGAAGAAAAAAGCTATTAATAAAGAGAAACGTAACAATGCATGTTTTAAAGTACGCATCGAGACCTGAACGAAGCAATCGTGGAAATGGAGACGAACGATGCTAGCGCCAACGCGCGGATCGTTGGATAAAGCTTGACTGAGTGTACTAGAAACAATATTCGACACGTTGGGACAGCTAGTGGAGTAAAATGTGGTGCTAAGCTGAGCTTCAGATATCATAGGAAGTATGAAAAAAATGGCTGTGACAGTTACTATAGGTAAGAACGAAGAAAAAGAAAACATTTTGTTTAGCTTAATATATGTGACAATTAAGAATGCAAAGTTGATGATTGTTGGGGACTTGAACTAATTTACATATTTATAGTTTTATAGTGACAAGATGAGAGCGTGATTTTTGCAAAAAATGAATGTGGAAGCTAGAAATTCAGCTGCTAATGTTTTGTGTTAGTATTTCTTTTTTCTTTCTGTTATATTTGGGATTAACTCAATAAAAATTAGCAACCGCAATCAAGGGGGAAAATTTTCTGAAACTAACGCGTAAACATGAATGGGCTTTTTTTATTTTTTTATTTTTTATAGTCGGTATCTGGAGCTATGTCCCCGACTAATTCGTGGGTGAGTCTCCCAACAAAGGTTTTCTGCATCCACAACGACTCGAACCCGAAACCTTGTTTAAGCGACATCAAGTTGTTTTTACCAGTTGAGTCAACACATGTGAAAGAAACCACTTGAGTCAACACATGTGAAAGAAACTGTGGGAAAATACACATGTGAAAGAAATTGTGGGAAAATGGGTGCGATCCCACTAAAAGCGCACCATGAAGCGGGAAAAACCTGTATGAAGCCTAAGTGGAGTTCCATCCCAAAACCAATTGGTGGAAGGAGGAGTAGCCCATTAGACTTATAAGGTGGGTCTATTTTTAATGTATGAACGATGTGGGATAATTCACAAATGATATTCTAACAACGTGAATGATTTTTTTTTTTTTCCGCATTAGTTCTTTTATAAAAGTCCTCAAGAGAACAAATCTCAGTTGAAAAAACTAACCAATTTTTAAGGTAACACGTAACTGTCACAGGCCAACAAAAAAACTATAGATCACTTTTCTAAAAATAATATATATATATATAAAAACTTTACAGACCACCAGAAATGTTTGAAAACAACAATACTTTTGTACCAAAAAAAAAAAAAAAAAAACAACAATACTTTAGAAATAAAGTGGACGCTACTGATCAAGAATTTTTTACCGTTTATAAATGTGATTTTGTTCATAATTTATTTTCAATAAACTCTCTAGAAAATGTATATTTGTGTGTGTGCTTGCATAAATTGATCTACTTTAGTTGGAGAGAATAAATTTCATTTTAAAAACAGGCTTAATTGCACTTAAAATATTCACTTTTTTTTTAATTGCAAATAAAATTCAGCATTTTTATCCTTGTAAATAATTACCAAAATTTTGTTATGTGTTAGCAAATTTGACCGAAAAATAGGTAGAAAAAGCTTCATCCCCTTTCATTTCATTCTCCACCTTTGCTCCTTATTGAACTTCAGACTAATGATTTAACTGTCGCATTACAATGTCTTCAAAGTGGTTTGTCGACACAACAAATACAAAGATTATCATTTTTCGACCAATTCTTGTTGATGTGTCTGATCAGAAATTTTACGTGACACTTGTGAGGATTGTGTGACATCTATCTTTGAAACTTCTCACCGTGTTTTGCCACATCACATGTCAACAAATTAACTAAAATTAGATTTTAGTACCAATTGAAAAAAAATAGGATTTTATCACCATTTTTTGCTCCATAATCTTCATAAAAATCGAGTTCTTCTCCCCTAGTTGAAAAAAAAATATTTGCCGCGATTCTTCTCTTCTCCATGGCGCGATTCTTCACCCCCTTCCCCCTCCCCCAAAATCGAGTTTACCCCAACATTCCGAATACATTTACGAGCTCAACCCCAGATTATGAAAAATTGGCCAGAGGTGGCGATTTTTGAGTAATTTTTAGGCGATTTTAGTGTTCTGATCGGGCACATCAAGAAAATTGGTCTGAAAATGGTTTTGAGATACAAATTTGTAATTCATAATAAATGTTTGATATTTATTTGCAAAGATAAAAAAAGTTGAGTTATTTGCAATTACACAAAAGGTGAGTATTTTATGTGCATTTAAGCCTTAAAAATAAGGTATGAAATAATAATATAAATTAACCAAATAAAATAATATAAAAAATATATTTCAAGAAATAAGATTACATATAATAACCAAAAATTATGATTTCATATAAGTTTATGTAACAACTAGCTTACCGGTGCACATATAGTTCTAAGCTAAGAAACATGTACAGTACATTCAAAATGCCTGTTTTATAATTTTTAACAGTTAAATGTTGAACATCAAGTCAAAATCGCGCCAATTCAGCCTTTGGTTTCCACCTCACATCCTTGCAGTGAATGGACAAGAATGTCATAGGCTTCGACCATCTCCGAAGGTGGGACATGTGTTAAAAATTTCAAAACTCATCATGTTTAAGGTCATAAGGCTGGATGGTCGCATGCTTCGGCCATCTCCGAAGGTGGGGCATGTGTTAAAAATTTTAAACCCATCATGTTTTAGGCCAATGAAGTTGGATGGTCGCATGCTTCGACCATCTCCGAAGGTGGGGCATGTGTTAAAAATTTTAAACCCATCATGTTTTAGGCCAATGAAGTTGGATGGTCGCATGCTTCGACCATCTCCGAAAGTGGGGCATGTATCAAGCTTCTTTGTGCATCTTTCCTTTATCTTGATTGCTTGTTTTGTTTCATGGTATCAGAGCGGGTGTAACAGCTTGTGACTTATCCATTTTTCGAGATAAAAAAAGGACCTCGTCTTTATTATGGCTGACACTAGCCAGTCAAGCGTTGGATCCGGCAATCACGACCATAACACTCAAAGCAGCAACACTCTTTACTTATCTTTCTCCAAAGCCAATTGATCTCCACCAAACTTGATGAAAGAAACCTCTTCATCTGGAAACAACAGGTGTTAACAACCATAAGAGGGTAAGGGTTGGAGAAATATATCAACCATGAAGCACGACCCCCTTCCCAGTACACCATAGATCCAAATTCTCGGAAATCAGCCATCAACGGAGACTTCCTTTTTTGGCAAAGACGAGACAGACCAGCTGCTTGCATCATGGCTTTTATTCTCCCTCAGTGAAGAGATCTTGATTCAGACCGTTAGCCTCTCAGAAGCTCGTCCCAGATATATATTATATTTTAAAGACCTTCTATCTATATCTATACTACTCTAAAAGGATGAGTGTTTTTGTAAAAATTCATAATGCCAAAAAAAACCCTTACTTTGACATAAATTTAATGACAAATTAGTAATACACTAATACACATTATATTTTATTTATATTTTTAATTAAAAAATGAACTACCTAAAAAACCCTTACTTTCACATGTTTTTAATGGCAAATTGGTAACATACTAATGTCATCATATCTTATATCCTCCCTATATATAATTAAAAAAAAAAAAACATAACTTTTCTCAATTCAACATAAGCAAATCAATGAAAATAATATATTTTTGAAAAATTTATGAACAAAAGTTGACTCGACAATATTATTAATAAATTTATGAATTGTAAATATTTAATTAAAATATTAATTAAAAATTGTAATTAAATATAATCTAATATAGGATATATAAATATTTGATATATAATGAGGCAGATGATCGAAAAGATTCTATACTTTATATTATGTCTTTTATGACAAATCTACAGTTAAGAACATGTGAAAGAACAAGATTATAAAGTTTTAGAAAAATATTAAATATAAGAAATAATATGAATAATAACTAAGTTGTGACACGTACTAATAAATATAAAAGAAACTAATAAAGAAAAATAATATAATCAATATAAATAAATATAAACCTTCTTAAAATATATTTATCAATGTAATCGAACTGAGTTGTTAAACGCTTGTTAGTTTTTGTTTCTTATTAATTTTATGTGTAAATTTGAGTTGATAGACAATAGTTATTTGTACATTTATACATGTAGATTAGAAAAAAAAATTATTATTCTAATTTTAAATAACTTTTTTATTTACTATATTAGTTTTTTTAATACTACCTCCTATTTTTAATATATCTCGTTTTGAAAATTTGCACGTTAATTAAGAATATTTTTTTTTGTCAATAATAACTCTATTTAATGAAGATAGAGATGAATGTTTTGAGAAAAAGTGAAGAGTAAATATGAAAAGACGTAATGTATTTATTAGCTAAATGAGGGTAATAATGGAAAAATATGTCGAAAAGATCCAAAATGACATTTATTTGACAAATAGTTGATAAAGCTATAATGACATTTAAAAAAATAGGAGGGAGTATAATATATAAGTATCATATTGAACAGATAAAACAAGAAATATTTTAATTACATAATATTTAATATGTAAGAAATGTAACTCAATTGGTAAATTAATAGGTAATCTTGGGATAAAATAATGAGTGATTTCTTAAAAAATAAATAAATATAGGAACTAAAAAATTCACTTGTTTAATATATTTTTAATAGAAAAATTGTAAACACAATTACTCAATAAATACTACATAAAAAAATATAAGAAATCTTATATTATCCCTATATATAATTAAAAAACATAACTTTTCTCAATTCAACATAAGCAAATTAATGAAAATAATATATTTTAAAAAATTTAATGAACAAAAGTTGACTCGACAATATTATTAATGAATTTAGGAATTGTAAATATTTAATTAAAATATTAATTAAAAAAATGTAATTAAATATAATCTAATATAGGATATACAAATATTTGATATATGATGAGGCAGATGATCGAAAAAATTCTATACTTTATATTATGTCTTTTTTGACAAATCTACAGTTAAGAACATGTAAAAGAACAAGATAATAATGTTTTAAAAAATATTAAATATAAGAAATAATATGAATAATAACTAAGTTCTGACACGTACTAATAAATATAATAAACAAAAATAATATAATTAATATAACTAAATATAAACCTTCTAAAAATACACTTATCGATGTAATCAAACTAAGTTGTTAAACGCTTGTTAGTTTTTTATTCTAATTAATTTTATTTGTAAATTTGAGGTGATAGACAATAGTTATTTGTACATTTATACATGTAGATTAGAAAAAAAAATTATTATT